AAAACAAAAGTAAATTGTGCCTGACTCATTTGGTTTCTGTCCTTCTTTTGAGATGATTGAGGTTCAAGTAGTAGATCTCTTCTATGTGGCACCCCATAAAGCATTTTATAGTGAATGTCCTGGTTTCAGTTAGAACAGAATTCATTTTCTTCCTAGTAGCTGGTGGAATGCTGTGTTTTGGCTTAGGATGAGAAGAGTGCTGATAACACCCCGATGTTTTAATTGTTGCAGAGCAGTGCTTATACTAAGCCAAGGACATCTCAGCCTTTTGCTCTGTCCTGCCAACAGGCAGGCTGGGGGTGCAGTAAGAGCTGGGAGGGGACAGACCCAGGACAGTTGACCCAAACTAGCCAAAGGGGTATTCCATACCATCTGTCATGCTAAACAATATATAGGGGTGGCTAGCTGGGGGAGGAGGGCCGGACTGCTCGGGGTTAGGCTGGGCATCGGTCAGTGGGTGGTGAGCAATTGCATTGTGCATCACTTGTTTGTACATATTATTATTACTTTCCTATTATCACCATTGTATTATTATTATTATTATTATTATTATTGTTATTATTATTTTCCTGTCTTATTAAACTGTCTTTATCTCAACTCACAGGCTTCACTTTCCCTTTCTCTCCCCCATCCCAGAGAGGGAGGGGGGAGGGTGAGCGAATGGCTGCGTGGTGTTTAGCTGCCAGCCGGGTTAAACCACGACAGTGAAGTATAGAAAATTTGATGGACTTTGGTACAAAAGTTGTAAAAATAAGCTGAGGCCTGGCTAAATGCACTTGTTTGCGAGGATAAGCTATCAGTCAAGAGGAAAGTTGTGGAATTCTCAAGAGTCAGTTCTGAGTTTATTTCTTAATTGCTTTGAGGAACGGGGCAATTGAAATCTTACTATTTGTGAGTTATTGTCATTGCACACACTGGAGGAAGTATGAAAAATTGAATAGTCAAATAAGCTTCTAAGAAAGTAGAGAGTTTAAATTAATGACTTTAGAGTTCATGGTCATGTACTCAGGAGCTACTAATTTTTGCAGCAAGTCATGTGTTCATTTAACGGAAGATTAAAAAAGAGAAGTCCAGTCACAAAAGGGAAATCCAGTATGATACACACACACAAAAGGCAGTACAAGATACTCCAACTGCAAGATATTCCCAACTGAAGAAAAGTAGTATTAATTGCCAGTGTACAAGTAAACAGTAAGAACTTGTCTGGAGTTTTATACGGAGTTATGGTCACTCAGATTCAAGAATGTTTTTCTGATTTGGGATCAGACACTAAAGAAGTATATTAAGACAATTTTAAGAGGCAAATTTTTATTTTATGAGTGCAAATTAGTCGAATTGATTTGTTTAGGCTAGTAAGATAAATTCCAACATGTCTGATGTTTATGAAAACCTTTGAGAAGTAAACAGCAGGCAAGGAAATTTGCTGTTTAAAGATAAAATTAACAAAATAATTTGTGGTTATAAAATTTCTACAAATGATTTCAGACTGGCAATTAGAAGACCTTTTCTAATCATGAAAGGAATGAAATTCTGTAACTCCCCCCACCAGCCTCTGAGAGGAGTGCATGTCAAAAGCCAAACCACTTTTAAGATGGAATGTGGTAAATCAACATATGGGGGTGAAGAGGTGGTGTAAAGGATTAATCCATTGTGTCCTGTAAATGACTTATGGTCCTAGAGTGAAGGTTAATTCTCACTTACCTCTCAGCTGTCAGGTGAAATAACTTAATCCACTGGAGAGCTAGAGGTGAAAAAACAGGAGTTATACAGAAAGGCAAGAGACTGCTCCCCACAGACTAATCTTGAGGAACTCTATTCTCCTCATGTATGTAGTCCTGAATGAATTAAATTCAGTTGTAAGTTTTATTGCCTTTTTTTTTTTTTTCTTCCCTGTAATTTTAATAATCTTAGCCACAGCAGTTACTAGTTACTGACTCCCAATTCTGAAGTACTCTTCTGTCATATCAGAGAGAGCTTGAAGGAAAAAAAGAAAAAATATGTATCTTCTTACTTGCTCTCCTATACCTTCAAGCTGGGATGAACCATGTTGTGAACATCAGCATACATATTAGAAACTGGAAAAGGAGAAAAAATAACAACTGTGAAATGGCATGGTTTTAAAAGGGTTTTATCCATCACTCTGCCTAAAAAGGCTATTAAATTTTTATGATTTTATTATGGCTAATTCTGCTCCGTATCTACTAATTATGTGTTGTAAATACATCTTCTTAGCAGAATTACACAAGAGGATACTGGTGTCCCTGGGTCCATTGCCTACATTAGTTATCCAGTGAGTAAGTGAGCTGAGACAGTGGTAGAAATATCAGTGGCTAAAAGTTAGCAGGTACGTCTGTTGTGTTTTAAACCTGGTAGGCAACTATGCCTCACACAGCCACTTGCCCACTCCGATGCAGTGAGGGAAGAGAATTGGAAGGGAAAAAGTGAAAAAACTCACGAGATGAGACAAAGACAGTTTAGTTAATGATGGAAAAAGGAGAAAGAAAAACAAAACATAACAAAAGCAAACAAGGCAAAAGGAATCAATCAACAATGGCTAACCCATACCTGATCAGTTCCTGAGCAATAACCATCCTGGAAAACTCCCCCTTGCGATTTTATTCCTGAGCAAAGTGTTATGCAGTATGGTATCACTTTGGTAAGTTGGAGTCAGCTGTCCCGCAGCTTCTTGCCCATCCCCAGCCTGCTTACTGAACCTTGCGTGTTGTGAGGCAGTGAGAAACAAAGAAAGCCTTGATGCTTTGTGAGTGCTGTTCATGCAGTAACAGGTAAAATGCTATTTTGGTATTACTAGTTTAGTCACAAATCATACATGCTGCTATGAATAAAATTAACTTCATCCCAGACAGATTCAGTACAATATTACCTTGCTAAAAGACAAGACAAAAAGTTACTCTGCAAATGAATAGTTTCTTTTCCATTTCAATGGGACTTACTCCTCTTCACTGAGGAATTAATTGTGTGAGGAATTAATTTAGGATTTTCTGATTCTCTATTTCATTTTGAGGCACTTCTATGTTAGTGATTATTTTATTGCAGTGAGACGGTAAATTGGTATTTATACCACTTAGCATGTGATGTAATACCTTCACTTGTCTACATCATGATATTAAACTCAGTGAGACTTAGTCATGGTTAGATTAAACTTTTTTTTTTTTTTTTTTTTTCTTTGATGATCTGGAAAGTTGGAAAGTCACACATTTACATCCTCAAGTTGTTTCTATTACTCTCTCACCAGCTGCAATGACTGTTGTAGGATAGTATATTGTACTACCAAAGCAATGCCAGTTGTAGTCTTACAGAAAACTTTGTTGTTTCTGTCATTTTAACTAAACCAGGACTTTACTGCAAAGATGAAATACAAGTTACCATTTTAAAAGGACAAATCTGAAATTTTAAATACCTCCTCAGTTTCTATTTCTGTCAGAACTACATACAAGAGAAAGCTGTGTGGGAGCTTCTATACTTTTCCCTGTTGCAACATGCAGAGATTAATCTAACACTGTTCTTTAAATTCAGATTAACACTGTTCTGTAGATTCAGAGAAAAATTAGATGGTCCATATATCATTTGAAGATAATATTTTATCCAAGGGGGACTAAATGGAGATCTACACAAAATGCTGCAGGTGTAGGTGATTTGGGGCTGCTATTATTGGTCATCAAATTGTATGCCTCTATCAAGAGCAAATCTATTATTTATTTATCTATCAATTTATTTATTTATTTTTAAGAGAAGGATTATGGGGCATTTAATCTCTTATGTTTCTTCTCTGGTTGCCTTTTCCTGTGGAAGCACCATCTAGCCTCCAGTAAGGATTTCCTGTGGAGGCACAGGAACACATTGCAAAGGGTGATCAACTCTACAACAGCTTTTGTTCTGGGGGGAATTTAACAAAGTCTTAATGCCTTAAGCTTACAATTATGATATTGAGCACTTGTAATGTACAACAGAGAAATTCTTTCCAGTGTTATCCAAATTTCATAAAACACAAGATTTTTTTTTTCTTTAAAACTTGATGGTAACTGGAAGACAGTGATAAAATACAGACTTGTGCTTCTTGTGCATATCTTTACCTGGTTTGCCAGTATTACTTCGAGAACCTGTTGGCACAAGATGTTCTTTCCTTATTTCTTGTTGCTGAATTGTATTTAAATTTCTTACCATTGCTTTCCGTTCTGATTGCTGCATTTTATCATGGATTAGAGAGGAAAACCATCCATGTAATACATCAGGACAGGTGTACATAGAACATTCTCTTGGCTTTGTTATGTATGTGTCGAAGGATCCCTTTGCTAACAAATTGGCACTTCGGTACATTCAAATTCCTTACTTCTTTCCTATTTAACTATGTTGCAGTAGAATTTGCATTTTTGCAGTATAACATGTTTTGCTTTTTAATTATGTTTCTAATCCTATTTTTATTGAAGATTATGCTATAAGTAGAATTCTATACGTAGAAAAAATAGGGAATGCAATGTGACTAAATGTAGTCTAAAATGTTGGTGCCCCAAAATAAAGCTGACAAAAGATGAGGGATTGTGATTAAACAAATAATGAAACAAATGTATCCTTTATCTTTCATAATCAAAATTATGCAATGCTGTGTACTGGAGACAGGTCTGTTAATGCAGTAAATTAGGTAGGAACAATTGTTCCCAATCAATAGGTTCTATAACAAATACTAAGGTTTTCTTTTCAAACAATCTTCCTGAGGTGAATGTCAACTTCTCTATTTTCAGATGAAGTCAATAGTTAGCCCTGGTACGATCAGTCTTATTAAGTCTTTCAAACTCTAACCAAAATCATTGCTGATTAAGAGACATCTATGAGTACAACACAGCACTTTTGCAATGTGTTCCCATCTTTGTGACTGCTGCAGAAGGTATTTATTCACCTGTTTTGCGGAGTAGATTTTTTATTTTAATACCCCCTCTTCCCCTTTTCCCTCACTACTGATTTTAATTATCTTTCCCTAACAGGCTGCTTAAAAAATCTCAAAGTGCTCAATGTGAGTTTTAATAATTTGAAGTCAGTCCCTCCGGAACTGGGTGACTGTGAGAATCTGGAAAAACTGGATTTGTCTGGAAACATGGAAATAAGAGAGCTCCCATTTGAAGTAAGATAACAAACTGTGTTTCTTCTACCCTTATTATTTGGATTATAAATTATAATAAATCTAAAAATATTACCATAACAGATTTAATCACATTCCTTGTAGTTTTTCAAAATAATGTTCTGGTAGTAATAGCACTGAAAATGATGAAGGCAGAAGCTAAACAAGACCAAGCTTCTTTGTTTTGCTTTTCAAGTAACTAAATTTTGTTCACATTTATTCTGATATATGAAGGAGGACGTGATCCCAAAGGGGATTTGGCCAGTGATGATAAGGAGAAGGCTGCAAATAGCTATTTTCAGTGGAGGCAAAGTGTATCTGGACAGTCAAATTCACTTACTAACCTTCATTTGTTCCCAATGTATGTATTTCTTTAAAAAGAGTATGGAGAGGTCTATAAAAAAGACTGCATGTTGCTATGAGCATAATTATGTCTGAAAGGGATATTACATGTGAGGCATGGTATGAATATATAATAAAGACAGAAAAGGACTCCCAAGCATGCACCAACACTGTTTCTTGTGTTGGATACATAACTGTTCTCTGCCTGACTGCTCAAACACTTACTGTTCTCTGAGAAATGAAACCATTGGCTAGTACATATGCACAATTTCATATGTTCCCATGAGTGAGGGGAGTACCAGTGTGAAGTGTCAGGCTCCTCTTTGCTTCCATCTTTTGCATCCATCTGTTGTGGATGATTTCCAGGCAATATTGGAGTGGATTAAACTTATGCGAGACCTGTTTTGCCCATGCTTATGTTCTGTTCCAATGAAACAAACAGTAATTAACTTTCCTCTCTGTTTTTTCAATGTAAGGCAGTTTATTTTGCAAAGAACTGTTCATAGATGATGTGGAGGAAAGAGAATGCTATGAGTGGACATTGTATAGAAATGTTAGCAAAAGAACAAACAGGCAGGTCTCTCTTTTGTTTCTCTTCTCCTTCAGTTTAGCAAAGGTAAAAGGTTAAACAGATAAAACTAAGTAATGAAAAGGAACTGTAATGAAATCAGAAATAAAGGAGATCCTGATAAACAGAGGAATAAAATATAAGCATCTAGGAAAAGAAGTATACTGAAACCTCCAGACCAGAGCAGTGTATTTGTGTTAAAATCAATGATATTTTCCCAGTTGCTTCTACAGGTATTGTAGGCAAAGGCTTGCACATTTCTATGCATTATGAACAGCCTTTATGTGTAAAACCAACTGCATATGCAAGTTTTCTTCCGGATTGAGTCCTAAGAGGCAAGGGTTTCTCTCAGCAAGCTCAGAAAGTTTGGTTCTTTCTGACAGTCTCCTATTCAATACAGGTAATGGTTTACTTACAATCTACATAAAAACAAAACAAAACAAAGAAACAACTGTGCAAATGGCTGTTTATATAACAGCAAAAACTCAAAAGCTGGAAGCAACATTAAGCTCAGTATGATCTAAAAAGTCAGGAAGAAAAATATTGGCATTTTCTATCATATTTTCTTGTTTCTCTGGAGGACAACACTTAATTTATACTTGCAATGACCCAGGAGGCAGGCTACATAAACTCCTCTGATTTAGTTTATAAAATTAGTTTCCCAGAATCAAGATTTCAAGGGCAGCTTTGGAAGCAGAACATACAATTAAAGGAACACTTTTATCAAATGATTTAAAAGGCTGTAGTGTTTGGCCTTCAGTGTACTCACTATGGCTGATCTTATTCAGAGCAATTGCATCAGTATCCTTGCTAATGTAATAGGTATTTGATTTTTCTCAGATGGACAATAGGTGGTAGTCACTGGCAAGTAACTACTTTATGAATTAAAATATCACATTAGTCTAAACCATCTAAGAAGGGAATGCAGACACTGTTAATTGTGGTGGTGGTTTAACCTTGGCTAATAGCCAAATGTCAACTCAGCTGCTCACTCACTCCTCCTCAATACAACACTGTGAAAAAAAGAATGGAGAAAAAGGATAAGAAAGCTCATGGGATGAGATAGAAACAGGATGATTGTTTGACTATTATTGCCATGGGCAAAACAGACTCTGCTTGGGGAATATTAATTTAATTTGTTGCCAACTAAGACAGATTTGGGTATTGAGAAACAGAAACATTAAAACAACACCTTTCTTACCCTATTTCAAAGCTCAGCTTCACTCCTTCACTCCATACACCTCTCTGTCCTGAGCAGTGGAAAAGGATGGGGGGGGGGGGGAGGGGGACAGTGGCAGAGATGCAATCAGTATACATCAGTGTCTCTCTGCTTCTCCTTCTTCCTTACACTTTTTCTTTGCTTCAGCATGGGCTTGGATGGGCTTGGTACAGGATGCAGATCTTTCAGAAATATCCATCTTTTCAGTGTGGTTCTTCTGTGGGCTGCACTGTGGATATATGCTCCAGACTGGAACATCTGTTCCTTTTCTGACCTTGGTGTTATCTCTGCTCTTTCTCACTCTTTTTGTTCTTTACTCCTCTTCCTGTTTGGCATTTTCTGCCCTTTGTTAAAAGTTTTTTTCACAATGGCACCACGCATGTGGCTGATGGGCTTTGCTTTGCCCTGTAGAGGGTCCCTTAGAGCTGGCTGTGCATGGAACGCTGCTGTGTTGACTGTGTGTGGTCAGGCACATCTCAGAGAAGCCAGTTCCCCCTATTAGACAAATTCAATCAAATATCTAATGCATTTGTTGCTCAAACCTTTTAATTCAGTGAAATATTCATGATAGTTGGTGATCATTCTCTGTAAGCATGTAAAAGTACCAAGATTTCTTGGTGGGCTTATGTCTTGCCCTGGTAAAAACACATAAGAAAAATGGAAAGATTGCTATTAGTAGAAAAAGCACTGAGTAGAGGGTCTTTTCCTGACCTGGACAATCAAGGCTGTCCAGATTTTGTCCAAGTACCCATCTAGAAGGTATTAGATTGTTCCTGTTGTTACCGTGTCTGACAATAAATATTTGCCTGAATACTTACTCTCATTCTTATTTATAAAAGCTTATAATGAAGCTGGGCTTCACAACTCCGTTTACAGGGAGAATTCCCCCGACCCGGAATTTGCAGAGACCTGTCACAGGCACTGAGCACACTGCAGCAATCCAGTAACACCACTCATCAACATATACTTTGGTACTACCCCACAGCAGAGGAAATAGCAAACTTACAAACCTCATCTGTGTTTTACTAGAAATTCTTTTTATGATGCAGAGAGAGAGAAAGAGAGAGACAGAGAGGCAGAGAGAGAGAAGATAATCTATTCCATATAAAGGTTGTATAATAATGAAGCACTAAGTGAAATTGTATTTTTTTTATATATATATATAAACATAGGTGTGCTTAGAAAATATCTGGCCATGTCCAGTCTAACCAAGAGTCGCCTATAATTCAGCCAGGCTTCTATGCCTAAATTAAGCCAGGAGCTCTTCCATCCAGTCAGACTATCTCAGGAAGAGGTAGGCAAAAATAAAATGGGAGGCTTGCTGTATAATGCTCTTTGGATTGCTAAATTTTGTTCCATGTCTGATAAAGATAAAGGGAAATGGTATCTAATAAAATCAGTCACCTGGCTTGTCCCAGTCTAATTACTCAGAAATTAAGTTGTGTAGAATCAAGTTTCCTACTACTGTAAAAGTATTAGTTCAGATACATTTTGTAATCCTCTTTTCATGCCCTATATTAAAATAAGCAGCTTCCAAACAAGTGTTCCACTACCCAGTCCCCTTCAGATTGCATCCAAATAACTTATCTTTCTTAGCTACACGTTGCTGCTGAGACATGTAATCCCATACTAATTTTTAATAACAAACAACAAGGAAAAATCTGCATATTTGTGAATACCTTGCAAAATGATAGATAATATCTTCTGTGAACATGACATCCCAGAAATATCTATATAATGCTTTGAGCATACAAAACATGAAGAAAACAAACTTTGACTACTGAACAAATATTTAGAAGGAGTAACAGTTATTATTAAGAGGATGCATCTAAAACCATCAAGATTTTCATAACTGCAAATAAAATCTGATACAGAGGGGATGTCCAAGCTAATACAAGGACAGTGAACTACACAGATTTCTCACCCTGACTGAAATGTGGGAATATATGGAAAGGTGAAAAACATAACTGCATATAACTCAGCAAAAATCTTTTGTTCAACATGAACTAGCAGTCAAAAATAAATAAATACATGCATACATAAACAAATAGTTGGGTCTATACACGAATGTGAGATACAATGGTTAACTCCAAAATTGAAGAGGTCCAGACTGGAGACAGTGTGGGCTACAGTGACAATGTCCTGGTTGAGTTTGTGATCTTGAGGAATATGGGCCTGAACTTCAAAAGAGCAAACTTCAAGCTATTTTAAAGACCTAGTGGATGAGATCCGCTGGAACACTGTCCTTAGGCACAAAGGAGCTGAACAGAGCTGGCAACTCTTTAAGGATGTTCTCCCTAGAAAACAAGAACTCCCCATCCCCCCGCATAACAAAATGGGCAGGGAGGGCAAGCAACCGGGATGGCTGAGCAAGGATCTGTTGGTCAAACTGAAGTGCAAGAAGGATAAAAACAGGCAGTGGAAGCAGGGACATGTGTCCACATGTCCAGGGACATGCTGTCCACATGTGCAGGGACAGGATCAGGAAAGCGAAGGCACAGATGATACCAAGCTTGGCAAGGGATGCAAAGAATATCAGGAAGGGATTCTGCTCAGAAAAGAAAGGCCAAAGAGAGTGTTCCCCCTCAGACGGATGACAACTCATAACAACAGACACGGAGAAGGCTGAGGTACTCAACAACTTTGGCTTAGTCTTCACTGCCAGTCTCAAGCTTCCCACATCTCTTGTTTCCCTGAAGCCATAGATGGGGGCTGGGGGAGCAAAGTCTCTCCCAGTGTAAGTGAAGAGCAGGTTTGAGACCACCTGATGAAAACAAACAGGTACAAGTCTATGGGGCCTGGTGACATGCATCCCAGGGTCCTGAAGGAATTGGCTGATTTAGTTGCCAAGCCTCTCTCCATCATATATGAAAA